AAAAATAAAAGAGGCAACTAAAAAAAAAAGAAGAAGAAGATTTATCCTGACTTTTGGCACTTACCAGCAGCAATAAGCTATCAAGCTTACACTGGTTGGCACAAATACCTTAAACTTCTGTTTTCAACTTGACAGCTCAGATTTTTCTCTTTGGCAAAGATAGTGTCAGTTGTTTTCTTTGAAATAGTCACTTTACTTTGTTCACTTAATGTCTGCGACTAGCCTTAGTAGTGTCCCTGAGTGGTACAATGAACTATCTCCTTCAGTTGCTAACCAAGAGGTCAGAGGTTTGAGCCCACCCAAAGGCTCTTGGAAGAAAAGCCTGCTTTTCTCTAAGCTTCTCTAAGCTCGGCCATTGAACTCCTTGGGGAGCACAGTTGTACTTCGACACACCCAGGGTTCCCACGAATGGAATTCACTCAGTGACAGCCACTGCTGGCACTGGTACTCTGAATCACTGGGTCTGTCAGTTAGTCATTCTGTCCATTAAAGTGGGGTCCCATGGAAAAGAGCAGGTATTTCAGCTCACAATTCCAACAAGCACGCACCCGCTTCTGGAGACAACTCTACTTTGGCGTGTCTCTCATTCCATGTATACTCAGCATTGTGTTTTCATTGTAAAAGAATGATTTTGACGGCTTCCCTGTGGCCATTTTTCAAATAGTTTTATTGGCATCTAGTTCACCTATCATACAAATTAACTGTCCATAGTAAGAAGATTTGTGCATTCATGACCACATTGAATTTCAGAACATTTTCTTCTCATGCTTGTTGTTGTTGGCTCCCTATTTCCTCCACCCGCCACTGCCATGCTCCAGTTACTGCCTGTAGACCTACCCATCCTGGATTCCATATTGCCGAGGCCGCTCTTGAGTAAAACTGAGCCAGCCAGTGCCTGGTGGTGAAGTCACTGTCTTGATTCATGCTGAGATGTCATTGCTCTTGCACCAGCAATGAGAATGCCAACATGGTACAAGAGGACACTAATAACTATTAATAACAGTGTTATTAAGAAGGTCATTTTGACCTCACAGTTCCCTGGGCAGGATCTGGAGCATCCCATAGAGTCAATGGTCTAGACTACTCTGGGAGCTCCTACTTTATGGTACCCATTGTTGTAGATTTCATAATAAACATAGTATTTGTATTCAGGTCATTATTTATCTTGGTTTGTCTTTGTTTTTATCTTTGCAGGGACTAACTGTGAGATTAATTTTGATGACTGTGCAAGTAGTCCTTGTGTCCACGGGATCTGTAAGGATGGCGTTAACCACTATAGCTGTGTCTGCTCCCCAGGATTCACAGGTCAGTGCTGTCTTTTAATAGGAGACCCACTCATTCAGTCTCTTTGTTTTAGGAGAACGGCGTCTAAGAGAAACTTACCTCCCAGTGTCTCCTCATTTGCGCATTGCTTTATCTCTCTGGAGGTTAAAAGTCTGCTTTCGTGTTTCCTGGATCAGCTTTGTGCTCACAGGACTGTCCCTAAACTGAAATATGGCCTGTTGTCTGTGGCATAGGGTTTCAGACCATATGTTTATTATACATAAAAAGAACCCTCGTCAGCTCATGGGTTTCCTTCTGTTCTTAAGTTGTATCACTTTCAAAGCCAGTTTTGTTTTTCTATGGGGAATGGCCATACTTTTCATAAACTCCCTATGGAAATACTCACTTCTGTTGGGAATTTCTTCTCTGGAGAGTTTGTTGGAACGGCTCAGGACTTGGGAAGACCAACTGAATTTGGCTATCACAAACGACTGTGGCGTGCGAGAGAGAGCAAACCCTCAGCAAGCAAAAGGCAGTAGTTGGCTCTGGATCAGCGGTTCTCCACCTTCCTGATGTCGTGACCCTTAAATACAGTTTCTCACGTGGTGGTGACCCCCCAACCATAAAATTATTTTCATTGCTGCTTCATAATTGTAATTTTGCTACTATGATGAATCATGCGACCCTGTAAAAGGGTCGTTCGACCCCCAAATGGGTCGCGACCCACAGGTTGAGAATTGCATGCTCTGGATGCTTTTTGACATAATTTCAAAAAAATTCAGAGGTGGGGAGGGTCATCACATGTTAAAAGTGACCAAACCCAATTCAGGCCATGTCGAATCCGACTTACAGCAACCCTGTAGGACAGAGTAGCACTGCCCTCTGTGGGTTCCGGAGGCTGCACACCTGTACAGGAGCAGAAAATCTCATCTTTCTCTCACAGAGTGACTGGTGGGTTCAACCTGCCAACTAGCAACTCAGTGCAGAACCCACGACCCCCACCAGGGCTCCTCTGAAAATGGCCAGAGGCTAACCATTATCGTGCTACTCAAAGGGGAATTCCCATTGCTCCCCAAGAAGACTGGGGACACCCAAAGTCTTGTGAGTTATGACTTCCTAGATTATGAACAACTAGAGCATTGTCACATGCAGGCATCCGACTGGTGATCGTCAACCCTTGGCTTGCTGAAGGCTTTCTTCCTTCTGCATGTCGCATTCATTTGCATTCTCCTGATGGACGTAATCATGCCCACTTGAGAGGAATGCCTGTGGTCCACGTTGAATCGCAATAATCTGTTTAGCAGATGACTCATAAGCCTTCATGTCCAGGACTGTATGCTACTGCAGTGGTCAGAGGTATGTTTGTGTTCAGAAACTTGTGACCCTCAGAGTAAGTGGCAGTCAGCTGAATCCATCAGAATCCTTGCTAACCAGGATGAGAGGCACATCATTGTTGAACAGGTCAGGAGAGAATAGGGAACATTCTTTTTATGAAGGACTCATTTTAAGCCAGGCACTAAGGTATATGCCTTTGTTTAGGCTTTCACTATTTGAAAATGCTTCAAAGCTATGCATAATGCTTTCTGTGCATAGGCTTCTTCCAACTTAAGTTCATCCACCAACAGTGGCAGCAGAACATTGACAAGCTGGGTTCCGAAGAAGACGTGGAACAAGGGCTATCATTGTGAATGGCAGTTGGATGCTGAGTCAAAGCAAAGAGTGACGGAAAGATGTTTACATGTACTTCATTGATAGGCAAATGCATTTGACCTGTGTGGACCACAAAACATATGTGGATAACCTTGAGAAGCATAGAAACTCCAGAACACTTCATTGTGCTCACTCGGAACTTGTACGTGGATCAAGTGGCAGTTGTACAAACAGAACAAGGGGAGGCTGCGTGGTTTAATATCAGGAAAGGTGTGCATCAGGGTTTTAGTCCCTCCACATACTTGTTCAATCTGGATACTGATGAAATCATCAGAGAAGCTGGATTATATGAAGAAAGTACAGCATCAGAATTGGAGGAAGGCTTAGTAACAACCTTCAATATGCAGATGACACAACCTTGCTTGCTGAAAGTATGGAGGACTTGAAGCACTTGCTGATGAAGATCAAGGATTGTAGCCTTCAGTCTGGCTTACAACTCAATGTAAGGAAGGCCAGATCCTTACAACTGGATGAATAGGTCACATCATGATCAATGGAGAAAAGATGGACGTTGAACATTTTGTCTTACTTGGATCTGCAATCAATGCTCACGGAAGCAGCAGTCAAGAGATCTACAGATGTATTAGGTAAATCTGCTGCTGCACAAGACCTCTTTAGAGTACTGAAGAGCAAGGATGCTATTTTAAGGACTAAGGTGCATCTGACCCAAGCCATGGTGTTCTCCACATGCATGTGAGCGTTGGACATTGAATACGGAAGACCGAAGAAGAGTCGGTGCATTTGAACTGTCGTGCTAAAGGCAAATAGTGAACGTGCCGTGGGCTACTAAAGGGGAAAAGCAATCTGCGTTGGAAGACGTAAGGGCAGAGTACTCCTTAGAGGCAAGAATGGCAAGACTTCATCTTACATGCTTCGGACATATTGTCAGGAGAGATCAGCCCCTAGTGAAGGACATCATGTTTGGTAAAGTAGAGGGGCGGTGATAAAGAGGAAGGCCATTGACGAGACGGATTGACACAGTGGCTGCATCACTGGGCTCAGGCATAGGAACACTTGGGAGGATAGGGCAGGATCATGCAGTGGCCTGTTCTGTTGTGCATAGGGTCGTTGAGTCAGAGTCGACTCGATGGCAACTAACAATAACAACAACAAGGTATATGCTCAGTGATGGTGTTGTCACTATCATTAATATCCCTATGGTATGGATAAGAATGGAAAAGCTTAGGAAGGTTAACTCAAGTCACTAATGCACTATAGCCAGGAGACCTGCCCATGCCACAGGACCGATTCACTGGGCAGCATAAGGAGTGCCTGTTGTGGTTTCTTCTGGAATCTATTAAGCCTTCCACTGGACCTTCTATTTTTTTTGGAAATGCCAGTGAAATATATTCTCTCTCTTTTTAACATCCAGCAAACCAGGAAGGTCAAGAAGGGAGGACACAGGCTAAAAATATTCTAAAATAAACGGAAGGTGTAGCATGAAACTACATAACCAAGAAATGGAATGTTTTGGTTACTGGGTGGTATACCCTGTTCTGGGAACTGTTTCAGTGTCTGGGACTGCTTTTATTTATTTACTTACTGCCAGCTGCTGAAAACATTAGCGATGCCTTTGGTATATATACTTATGAGCAATAAATGCAGCATTTTATTTGCTCTCTTTTTAAATTTTACTTTGATGGTTATTCTGTTTACTATTTTTACAACAGCTTGGCACCAGAATTTGGTGTTTTTTTAATTTTTTAAACTAAGGTATTCTACTAGAGCTGCTTTACATTTACTGATTGAATGGAGAAGTAAAATATGACATCTTGCTCCTATAAACTGCTCTTCAGTTTTATAAAGCACTTTAATATCCAGTATCTTGCTGAATTCTTATCACAATTCAAAGCATAGATGGCAGTGGTAATGGTGATATGTGTCCTCATTTCCAACTCATAGCAGCCCTCCAGGGCAGGTTGACCCGCCCAGTAGAAGTTCCATTACAGGGCTGTAGAAGATTACAGGGCTGTAATCTTCATGGGAGCAAATCCCCAGGTCTTTTCTCCTGGTGCGCTCAAACCAGCGATCAAGTTAGCAGCCAAGTACTTAAATCATATCATCCTCACTCCAAAAAACGAGGGAACCAAGAGATAGAAATTGACATATCCCTGGTTTCAACTCGTCAAGTCATGTAACTCGTTTGTCAATCCTAGAAGACAGGGAGTTCCTTAACCATCATTGTGGACAGTGGGTAAAATAGTGTCTGGCACAGAGGAAACACTTATTAAATGTTGAATTAATTAACAGGACTTAAATATGGGACTTTTAATACCCAATTCCAGACTGTGTAGGCCGGGCTAAACTATGCGTTCATTCATTAGACATCGATTTATTGATTACCTACTAAACGCATGATCAGCTTCTCATTTCAGTAGTCACTGAGGCCAACAAAGCACATAGCCTTGTACTAGTGAATTATAAAACCTGGTGGAAACTCCGTAAGGAGTAACTAGCTATTTGTTATGGATTAAGTTGTGTCCCCCAAAATTCATGTTGTAAATCTTAACCCCTGTACCTCTGGTTATAACCCTGTCTAGGATGGGTTTTCTTTGTTGTGTTAATGAGGTGGTAGTAGTATGGCGTATGTCTTTTTTTTTTTTTTAGAAAGAGCATATAGAATGTAATTGAAAGCATTGGCCTGATATAAACAACATCCAACTCCCTAGGGCAAAGGCCAAGAATTCTAAAATAATGTGAAACAAAGAAGGAAGGTGACAGATTTTCAACTTTTTCTAGGACCTCAACATAGCTTTCAATTGCCTTCTTTCAAAAATATTCCTGTTGTAAAAGTCATTTCTCAAAACCTTTAGGTAATGTTCACAGCCTCTGCTCTATACTGGTAAGTAGGCTAAGACATCAGCATTTTGAGGTGACAGACTAAGGTTTTCTCCACTGTCCTAGGGTCAGCCCCAACTCGTGGTGTGGCCCCAGCTGTGTCAGAGTAGACCTGTGCTGTACAGGACTTTCAGTGGCTTTTTTAAGTTAGTAGATTTTTCTTCAGAGATGTGTCAGTGGACTTGAACCCCCAGCCTTCCCTCCCCTTCCCAATTGGTAGGGTGTATCCTAAATCCATGTCTTGAGCTATGAGAAATCAGATTAAGGAATTTGAGATGGAGGAAGGAAAATGCCACAGGAAGATCTCTCAGGGGTTTAGGAACAGAGCAGCAAAAAGAAAAGCCCTTCTTCCAGAGGCAACAGACGCTTCTCCAGAGCAAGCACCTGCACTGGAACTTCTGGGCTCCTAACCTGTGAGAAAATCAATCTGCTTGTTAAAGCCACTCGTTTGAAGGTACTGTTGTTATAGCAGCACGAGCTAACGAAGGCACGTT